AAGTGAAGGAAACGTCACAAGAAAAAAATATTTCTTTTATTTTTTTGTTTATAAGGCGACGAATTACAACAAAAGTCGCAAACTTATTTTCTTAGTTTTTTCTTTATCTTTCTTTTCTTGCGTCTCTTTATATAAAGATTGGTAGCAATTTTTTATCTTCAACCTTACAACTCCCAGTAAAAGCCCTAATATCGTTCACACCATCCTCCCTATCTCTCATCCTGCCCATCGCCGTCGCCTTTCTGCCTCTCGCCGTCGCTGCTCCCTATGGCCTATCGTCATCGCTTTTCAGCCATCTCTTCCCCTCGTCTCCTCGCCGTGACAGCTCCCCCCTTTGCCCGTCATCGCAGCTTCAGCCCCCTCGACCCGTTGTTGTTGCAGCAGGCCCTCCGCATATCGCCACCGAAACTCCCTCCATCGCCTTTATCTTAAACAATCAGCCAGTCTCCTCCCCCTCCTGTCGCCGCCCCTATCAAGGTTCGTTGATTTACTCTGTATTATTTGTTTTTTTCTTGAGCTTGGCTTATTTCGGGTGTTGAACTTTCAATTGCAATATTATTCACAGATTTGAAGTTTTACTATTCACAGATTGGAAATTTTGGGTGTTGAACTTTCAATTGCTATATTAAGATGGAAGTTAATTGCTAATGTAGCATTAATGGGCTAATTTTCTTTGATTAATTTTGTGTGTGTAGTGGTGGGATTTTGTGCATGTGTGATTTCTTTTCCAAATATAAAAATGTCAAAGAAGATTCTATCATGAATTATGTTAATCGATTGGGCAAAATGCCATAACACTCTCTACACACAATTACCAAGGCCATCGTTTATCACCACTTAATTTTATGGAAATCGAAATGATGCCATTATCCCGTATTTTCCCTCTAGCATTTAGTCCTCCCATAAATACGTATGTTCATATGATAAAAGCAAGAAAGGTTATTATTTGAGAAATAATTATTTTTGGGGGTGCATTTTTTTTATATGATTTTACTGATGAAGTTGTTGAGCTTTTATGTATGTTCTCGGTAGTGTGTTGTTTCTCCTCTTTTTTATCTATATATTCTTGTTTCTCCTCTTTTTGATCTGAATTTTATCATTCTAATGATCATAGCAAAAAAAATTCTAACCTAGTTACTTCTTTTATCTGTTTGTTTCTAAATTCTCTTGACGAGTAGCTAATGAGAACTTGGGCAATTTAGGAACGAATTCACACAGTAGAATACCAGTCATTTAATATCTGAGAAATTAAATTGAGTTGTAAAAGATTCTAGACTTATGCACTCTGACTCTTTGAATGTATTCCGGTTTTAGAATTTTTGGCCATGTACAATTTAAATCTTCAATTTATTATGGTTTAATAATTTTCTTAAATCTTAAGGACTTTTGATATTAGTTTTTCGTTTATTAAAGAAAAGTATATTACTTTTTTGAATTTAATTTTTCAGGTCATCCTCATATAATCCACAGAGATATTAAATCATCATACATACTTCTAGACAACAACTTTAGAGCTAAGGTATGATGATTTTCTGGTGACCTTTGTTCTTTTCCTTTATGTAAGTGTACTCTTTTATATGTAAATACTTTTGTTGGATCTTAACATGACAATGATGTCGATTATGAGTTAAGAGTGAACCGGTGGATAACTCAAAGAAACATTGGACTCCTTGTAAATTCTGTTTTGTAACTTGCTTGTAAATGATATAGCGATGATATGAAAGATTTAGTTGAACAATAACAACAATTTCTTGCGTTTCTAGCATAATTAGACTTCATCTTGTATTAAGAAAGCTATTGATGCATAGATATCGGTATGATCAACTATTCATAAATTTGATGGCAATACTAAGCTATTATCATTATGTGTGATATTTTATAGAAAGATTGTGCTAAAAGTTTTGGGAATCATCCTCTCATAATCCTACTGGTTTTGGACTCAGTATTTTTTTTTTTAATCCTTTCATCCAGGTCTACTGTACTCACATTGCACCAGACTATTCCCTTCCGTGGCAGAAACAAAGGCAGTATACTGCGTGGCATGTCCGAGCCACCCTTTTCTGCATGTCATTGTTTCAAGAAAGTGTCATTTCCTTTTCCTTCTAAATTCGAGTTCAAAAGCATATCAGAAATCTTTTCTTTTGTCGCGTGATGAAAATTTTAATTTAATTTGCAGTGCTTTCATGACAAGGTCAACTTTTCTCCAAAATTCCGACGCCAATGATGAGGATGAAAATAAGGATTCAATCCATTTGTAATGATACAATACTATGTTTGTAAGGCTACAATACTTTTTGAGTTTTTATGTACTTTCAGTTTTATGTAAGTGTATTTGATGTAATATTTTAATTTTAATGTGGTGGAATGAATTTTAATATAATGTGTGATTTGGCGTAATATTAAGATTTTTGGTTTTAGATCTGATTATTAATTATAGGTTAATTTATCATTTAATATTTGGGACAAATTTTTTTTTTAAATTATGTTGCGACGTTTTTAATATTTTTGTCGCAAAGAATGGTTTTTCTTTTGCGACGGAAAAATCAAATTTCGTCGCAAACAAAATAAAATTCCCCTTTTCACAAAAAACAAATTTGGCGACGAAATATCTAATCACCGCAACTTTTAGCGACGGAAAAAATAAATTCGTCGCACGTTTTGCGACGACACGTTTGGCGACTTTTTTTTGCAGCGTTTGCGACGATTTATTTATCGTCGCAACGGCTTGATTTTCGTCGCAAAGACAATAATTTCGTCGCAAGTTTTCGTCGCCAGTCTAGCAATTTGGCATAGTGGTATGGTTTATCGGCGTTTGTTGTTGCCGGAGCTGTTCTTGATTTTTCCACGGCGGCAGTTGTTTAGGCTGTTGAATATGGTTTTGCGGCAGTTGTTGTTGCCGGAGCTGTTCTTGATTATTCCACGGCAGCAGTTGTTCTGGCTGATGAATATGGTTTTGCGGCAGTTGTTGTTGAGGCCGATGAATATGGTTTAGCGGCGGTTATTTTCGGCGGAGCTGTTCTTGATTATTCCACAACGGCAGTTGTTCAGGCAGATGATTATGGTTTTCCGCTAGTTGTTGTTGCCGGATCTATTCTTGATTATTCCACGGCGCCAAATATTCAGGTTGATGAATATGATTTTGCGGCAGTTGTTGTTGCCGGCGTTGTTCCTGATTATTCCACCGCGGCAGCTTTTGTCGTTAAGGCTGATGAATATGGTTTACCGGCGTTTGTTGTTGCCGGAGTTGTTCTTGATTTTTCCACGGCGGCAGTTGTTCAGGCTGATGAATATGGTTTTGCGGCAGTTGTTGTTGCCGGAGCTGTTCTTGATTATTCCACGGCAGCAGTTGTTTTGGCTGATGATTATGGTTTTGCGGCAGATGTTGTTGCCGGAGCGGTTCCTGATTATTCCACCGCGGCAGTTGTTGTTGAGGCTGATGAATATTGTTTAGCGGCGGTTATTTTCGGCGGAGCTGTTCTTGATTATTCCACAACGGCAATTGTTCAGGCTGATGATTATGGTTTTGCGCCAATTGTTGTTGACGGATCTGTTCTTGATTATTCCACGACGCCGATTATGCAGGCTGACGAATATGTTTTTGCGGTAGTTGTTGTTGCCGGCGCTGTTCCTGATTGTTCCTCCGCAACAGCTGTTGTCGTTAAGGCTGATGAATATGGTTTACCAGCGTTTGTTGTTGCCGGAGTTGTTCTCGATTTTTCCACGGCGACAGTTGTTCAGGCTGATGAATATGGTTTTGCGGCAGATATTGTTGCCGGAGCGGTTCCTGATTATTCCACCGCGGCAGTTGTTGTTGAGGCTGATGAATATAGTTTAGCGGCGGTTACTGTTGGCGGAGCTGTTCTTGATTATTCCAAAACGGCAGTTTTTCAGGCTGATGATTATGGTTTTGCGCCAGTTGTTGTTGCCGGATCTGTTCTTGATTATTCCACGGCGCCAATTATTCAGGCTGATGAATATTGTTTTGCGGCAGTTGTTGTTGTTATTAATCATTTCAAATTTAAAATTTTATTATTTTTATTATTAATATTATTGTTATTGTTGTTGTTCTTGTTGTTGTTCTTGTTGTTCTTGTTCTTGTTCTTCTTCTTGTTCTTGTTCTTGTTCTTCTTCTTGTTCTTGTTCTTGTTCTTCTTCTTCTTCTTCTTCTCTTCT